AGGGTTTCGGACGACCCTCGGGAGGAAAGGCGGGCGAGGCTGGATACCGGCTTTGCCCGCGTGGATGGCTGCCGGGCGGGAGTGTCCAGAGAGGGCCAACGGCCTGTTGCGCTTTCTCTGGTCCCCAGACGGTGGGGTTGGGCGCGGGGCGGCGGTGTAGCTCTTCAGTCCCGGAAAGGTTTGGGCTGTAATGTTCCGGGACCAAAGACAGCTGGCAAATCCACCGGTTTCTTCAGCGCGAGAAAAGCTTGCCAACATTCCCTCTTGGCTGCAACGCCCCGGCATCCCTTCCCGAGCCCAGGACATAATGTACATTCCGCACAATGTATGGCCTTGATTGACTGGATACTCCAGGTTAGAGAGGGGCCAGACCCCCTTGGAGGCTACTGACGCCAGTGCCTTGGAGGAGTAGTGGAGAAGTGGGAGTTTCTACAGGTCCGGTGGTGGTGGTGGGGAAGTGGCACATTCAGAAATTCTGCACCGAGGTCGAAATTCCAAGGGAAGCCCCACTCTCCTTGTGTCCTATTCCCACCTCCATAGTCAGATCTTTCTGCAGAGTCTGTCTTCAATGGCGGAAGAGATTAAATAACAGGCATCACTCGTGCTTTGTGTTTCCTTCACTGTCAGAGTCAGCTGTGGGATGGTGGTTAAGAGTGCTGGGCTAGGATCTGGAAGACGCTGGTTGGAATCCTTACTCTGCCCTGGAAGCTGGCTGGGTGCCCTTTGGCCAGTCACACACCCTCAGTCTAATCTACCTCACAGCCGAAGGGGAGAATTTTGTGGGCCTTTTTGTGTCCCCATTGGGGAGGAAAGCGAGGCGCATATGAGGGGAAATAAGATAAATACCAGAGAAAGGTGATGATCACAATCGTGTCAATCACACACAGTCTGCTTAATCAACATCACAGGCTTGTTATGGCAATAAAATGGATTGTTGTTGTTGTGTGCTTGGCTCTGAGCTCTGTGGAGTAAAGGGGTGGGTGGGATAAAATGTGGTAATAATAAAATTCTGTGTGGTAAAACTTTTCTGATCTTACAAATGGAGACACTAGGCTGGAAGGCAGCAACTGACCCACACGTCAGTTAGGTTTGCTGAACAATGCACAGTTGCTGTATGTAGACTTGCACACATCCAATCTCTGACATAAAGATTGTATGAATCATGACAGACACATTTCTGGGTGTGTGTTTTTTTCTGAAGTCAACAGACGATATCAGAGTAATGGGTCTGCAGCCCAGACTACATCGGTTGATTCTGCGCTGTCATTGTACTGTAGTAGTCCTTTCCGACAGGTTGGCTTCTCCGTGTATGGAGGTCTAGTTATGGATGATAGCTGTAATATAATAACAGTGCAGCATCCATCCACATGCTACTGCCATTACCTGCCCTCCCCTCCTCCAAGCATAGTCCCTTGGGATTTGAACCCAACTCTCCTGATTCCAGGAAAGACATGCTACCTGCTGCTTATGAGCCCTCATGATCTCATCTGGCCACTTTCCATCGCATTAGTTGTAATGATCTCAAACGTCTAAAGTTCCCTATGAATCTTTTCTTCTTCTCATTTTCCTCTTTTGTCCTGGCAGCTGATATGCCTGCTAAGAGTTTGGCATCAAAGTGGCTGTGGCTTGTGAAAAGAAGCTGGGTCTGATTAAGTTGGCTGATCAACTTGAGGGAATGATGTTTCCTCCTGAAGCGTTGGCATCTCTTATGGATGGCAGAGGCCCTGCTGAAAAACCAGGGCAGAGCTCAGCAGCCGTTCTTTGTGCTGTACCCACTGTGATAACAGAAGCATAACTCGAAAGGATTTCAGCTTTCCTTGGATGCAAGTGGTCTACTGGTTCTCTGGAAGAAGAGAGAGAAAGGCTAATGGCAGAAGTTGGAATAGGGATAATAGCCAAGAAAGCACAATGTCTTATTGGTTGCTGGAGCAGTTTCCTCTACTTAGAATTAAATAGAAGAGTTTGCTTGCTGCTAGCCTTTGGAATCATTTCATACATTACAAAGCAGGAAATCTAGCCACAGAGTGTACTTCTGATAAGGAAGCACAGCTGATGGTGGCATGCTGACATATTTTCCTATGTAGAGCCCCCCCCCCCCAAAAGGAAAAAGGTATTGTTAGTCCATAGTTAAAAATGGAAGCCATGTCATGTCTTTTATTAAGAACAATCAAAAGAACACTGCTAGCTTTTGAATTCTGCACAGCTCTTCATCAGGCTGGATGTTCGAAAGGAACAAGGGGAGGGGAAATCTTGGGGCCCTGGCCTTGAGGCTTCTCTGTCCGCAAGTTGTGTAGGATGCAGGTTGGTTTCAGTAAGCACCTGAAAAACATTAGGGGGACTGACCTGTTGTTATAATTCCAATTAAGTGGCATCCATTTTTGCTTCTTCTTCCCAGGTTAGTAGGGTTGCTGGATGATACCAGTTGGGCTCTGGTTTTTAGATTTTCCGGTGTGAGGCATGTGTTTTGGAAACACGTGTTCATTGCTTTTCCACTGCAAATCCTTTGCTGTACCCTTGAGATTTCTTTTAGTTCACTGCACGAGACCTTCTTGTGATCAGCTGCGCAATGAAGTTATCATGCCAGAAAGCGTAACAAAGTTTTGTCGGAGAACAGGGCTAAGAGTGTACGCTGAAATTTGTATGGTAATGAAATACATAGAATGCTTAGAGGTTTGTATGACAAAATCTTTTTAAAAGGTGGGAGGGCCTTATTTCTTTCCCTCCTGGGTGGTAGAGCCTCTCTGTCTGCTGTCTATTATAAGAGATGATTGAGACTTTTTCGAAGCACGCTGGCTACAATCACATGAAAGGGTAGGTAGCAAAAATCGCGGTTAGCTGCAGGCAGCTTCAGAATCAATACCTATCTGATAGAGCATCACATTAAGTGGGCTGTTGTCCATCTGTGAAAGCTCAGGCCCCAGTAAACTAGGGCGGCTGGCTGCAAAGCACTACTGCTGCAGGCTCATTCTGCCTCTTCTGGAATTTGCCTTTTAATCAGTGGCTTCTCAAATGGACCTCCAATGTGTCTCAGAAGCCTTGGAGCTGCATTAGCAGGGGAGTATAGTTTTATCTATTTGCTTCATTTCTGCCCCGCCTTTCTCCCCAATGGGGACTTGAAGCAGTTTGCATCATTTTATTCTCCTCCATTTTATTCTTGCAACAACCTTGTGAGGTAGGTTAGGCTGAGAGTGTGCGACTGGGTCAAGGCTACCCAGCAAGCTTCCGTGGCAGAGTGAGGTTTTGAACGTGGTGGTCCTAGATCCTAGTCCAACTAATCTTAGTGAGTTTGGAAAACCATGAAAAGTCAACAGCCAGGACTGGCCTGATGCTTGTATGGGGAGAGGGTGGTAGGGTGACCCTGAAAGATAAAATCTTTTTAAAACAGTAGTTCAGGGTTAGGGTTGGGTGACAGTCCCTGCCCCCCTAACCACTGGGAATAAATGAATAAATGATATTGTTCCTTGTCCCAAGTTCTTGGGATGGAATTGTATTCTGAATCCAAATATAGGTTAGACCTGATCTGTTTTCTCTCTGTCTCTCACATGCACATCCTTCCTTTTGACTGTTCTGACATTTATTCTTATAATTTATTTAGGTATTTATACCCAGCATTTCTCCCCAGTGATGACCCAAAACAACTTACAGCATCACCCCCCCCCTCCATTTTATCCTCACAACAGCCCAGTGAATTTAGGTAGGGCAGAAGGAGAGTGCCTGGCCCAAGATCACGCAGCGGGGGTGGGGATTCACACCTGGATTCTAGTCCAACACATCAACCACTACACCCCACTGTCTCTGTTAGTCATCCCTTTCCTTTCCTCTCTCTTTCAGTCTGTTATCTGCCTTGCTGTTACCATCACCAGTAGCACAGGAAGATATTTTTTGCTATATTTGGGAGACAGAGAAAAATCTGTACAATTGTTTCAGGGCTAATGGGGAAAGTAGGTGTTGAATGTAGCACAGTGCTCTTCAGCTCTGTCTGTTCTTAGGGGCTTAGGGGACTTCTCACTAGCTAATATTCTGGTGAAATTTTAGAAGAGCCACCTTGAATGGTTTTCATAATGTGAGAACTCCAGGTCTCATGTCTGGGCAAGGTTCCTTCATCACCTGCTTCTGACAAGTTTCCTTGAAAGTTTTGTCCCTTACTTTTGGCTTATGGTGGAAATTTCCTTATTTAAATGCTGGAAAGCTTGTGTTGTGATTTATGGCAGTGTCTTAGAGCCCCAAGTCTATAGCGGCATGTTGTCCATAAGCATACTGTTCGGAATGAAGTGAAAGTGCTAAATATAATCAAGGTCAGATATAAATGGCTCTAAAATTTTAGAGCATAAAAAGCTAGGGGGGGGGGAACTCACAGAACTAAGCATAAGCAACTTGGATGAGGGAGAGAAAACTAATCACCGAGTGGCACAGCTGATCAGAGGAAAAAGGCCTCAGAGGAGCAGACCTGGCCTTACTATGAAGCAAAAGTTTGGCAGAAGCTTCTGGAAGGAGCTCAGCTTCTTGTAGTCACTTTGTCTCGTTGTGTGCCATTTAAAAAGTGAGTTCCAGTTCAGCAAGGTTCCGTCTTGATTTTTTCCCCTTCAGATGCAGACCTTGGTTTGGGGCTGGCATTCCTATGAGTGTTGATCCTTTTGGAGGAGCCAGATACTGCTTGCAGTGCATCCATGAAGAAAGACTGTCCTATCAGTGCTGTACACAGAGGAGGGAAGTTTGGTGAACTAGACCCTAGGCAGTAATAATTTTTTAAAAAAGAATTAAAAACAATGACTGTTGCCAGCCATTTGGGCTCTGAAGGCTGCACCTCCATGATTTGGAGGATTTAACACTTTA